TATATATATATATATATATATATATATATAAAGGTAAGCAAATAAAATAAAAAGTATATAAGTGAAAAAAAACAAATAAACAAAATAACCCAAATAAATAAATAAATAAATGAACAAATAAATAGATAAATATATAAATATATAAACAAACAAACAAATAAATAAATAAATAAATAAATAAATAAAAATAAACTGAGATGCAGCAGGAGGGAAAACGAACCTCAGGAGATATCTTTGGGGTCGGGTATAGTGGGGGTAGTGGTAGCTTTGTTTTTTCTTCTTTTTCTTTTTCTTCTTTTTCTTTTTCTTCTTTTTCTTTTTCTTTTTCTTTTTCTTCTTTTTCTTTTTCTTCTTTTTCTTTTTCTTTTTCTTCTTTTTCTTTTTCTTTTTCTTCTTTTTCTTTTTCTTCTTTTTCTTTTTCTTTTTTTTCTGCTTCTGCTTTTTCTTCTGCTTCTTTTCTCTTTTTTTTTTCTTCTTGTTCTTTCCTCTCTCTTTCTCTTTTTATTTCTCTTTCTATTTCTTTTTCTTTTTCTTTTTCTCTCTGTATTCTGTGTTTTTCTCTTGGGCCTTCTGTTGTCTCCTGATAAGAAATGTAAATTAATTTTATTTCTTCTTTTTTTTTATTTTTTCTTTTTTCTCTCACTCTAATCTTTCTATGGATTTCAGCTTTCTTCTCTTCTCTCTCCTCTGGCGGAGCCCCCACAGCCTGAGCCGAGTCAGATTAGGGTTTAGGGTTTAGGGTTTAGGGTTTAGAGAGAGCATACGGACCTCTTCTTCCTCTTCTTCTTCTGGTATTTCGCGTGTCTGTGTAGGTTTATGTATTTCTTTTTCTTCTTCTTCTCTTTTTTCTTCTTCTGCTGCAATTCTTTTTTCTTCTTTTAGTTCTTTTTCATGCTGCAGCTGCTGCATCTCTTTGTGAACAGGGGGTAGTTGTATTTCAGGTATTTGTTCGTGTGCTTCGGCCTGCTGCTGCTCTCTCTCTCTTCTCTCCTCTCTTGACTCTTTATAAACTTCTTCTTTATGCGAAGGAACAGGAAAAGGTATTATTTGAATCTGAGGGGGAGGAGCCGGAGAAGGCCGGGCTTCGTGTGGGTGCTCAGCTGCTGCTGCTCCTGGTGCTGCTGCTGCTGCTGCTGCTGCTGGTGCTGCTGCTGCTTAATTCAAGAATATAATAAACAGGCTATGAAAGGCGATTACGGACCTTCTTCTACCACCACAATTCTTCTCTTTCCGGGGGTACAAGGCTCTGTATTTTCAGGTGTATTACGAGGTATGCATGCATGCATGCATGCATGCAGGGAGAGATGCAGCAACAAACAGCACCTTTAGTTTGCGGTTCCTCCTCCAGAGCCTCCTCAGCGTTCGTTCTAAAGTCTCGTGCATTTTCATGCATTTGTTTGGAGAGCTTCGACTGAAGGGGAGAGGTGTATGTACACTGCAAAACTTATTTCGGCTGTATATTGTGTAATCCTGACCTGCAACTGCTCCCTATCCCTCTCAATAAGCCCTGTGCAGGTTCGACAGAGAGGTGGAAACTTGATGGTAATTCACCAAATAAATGCAAAAAAAAAAACTGTAAAGAGAACCTTTGATGCTCTCGTCGGTAATCCATTTTTGATTCGCTTTCAAGACGCTCAGAACCACCGCGTTTCCCACAACCTTCTCGAGTTGTCTTCGGGTGTATAGGGACTTTGCGGCCAGCCGCTTGACCTCCTGAGGCGTCAGTGTTTCTGAATTAGTAGCTTCTTCAACTGTTTTATCTTTTCTAGTTCAGTACCTTCAGAAGACGACGCTGCTCGAGTCGAAGCAGCGCCGGCCAATCGTGACACGGAAGCCGTTCAAGTCGGGCTGAGGAGAAATTGCGGTTTTTTTTTGTAGTTTTTTTGCAAAACTGTAGAAATAAATAAAAGTATTACCCACGGGACTTGAATTGAAATGATCAGGATCGTGGATTGGGGCGGAAACTTCCTTTTCCGCGACCGCGCCATGCCGGCGTTTCAGATCGTGTTGATGGTATTGCGGGGAGCAGAGAAGAAATTGCGAGAGAAAAACACAAAAACAAACTCTTAAAAGCAAAACAATCATCATCCCATGACGGGTGGTGGTCTACTTTTACTTTATTTCATCCACATGGTCGATATTCCTCTGCTTTCCTCGAAACCTCTTGCAGAAGAGTTTCTGCATTGCACCGCCACTTCCCGGGTGTACAGACACCGCAAAAGTTGAACGTCACCGGCCAGATTTCACACAGCACGTAACGGTGCAGAAATGAAAAGGATTAGCTAAATTAAATAATTATATTCATATTTTTTTTAACAAATGCCGTTTATAAACCGCTATATGCAAAAATAACACAGCCGGTTCCGGCACTGTGATCTCCACTGCAGCTTTCCGTCTTGAACGAAATACTGCTTCAGAAAGCAAACTGCAAAGGCATCTCATCAGCATCAACTATACCTATTTTTCTGTATATAAACTGCCTACGGGAATACTGCAACTATAAATATTTTTTTTTACACCGATATGACCAGTGGTTCAATCGATGCACACCACTGGCCCCACCGCCCGTAGCCAACAGCAGCGAACAGTAGAGTTCTATGAAGGGATCTATAAACTATGGATAAGATTGAAGGAGCATTTGTCTATCTTTTTGATGTGAGCCATTGCAGCAGCAGCACAAAAGGCTGGGGGCTCGGCCTCGGTGTGTAGTATGCGGGCAACCACCCGGATCGTTCCTTGCACCGAGGAGGTGCGTCTGAGTCTTTTATGAATATTTCAATTTATATTTTAATTGAAACACCGGCAGCACGCACCGCAGCCAAAGATTTATACACATCACCGCGTGCGTCGGCCGTCGGGTCGAAGCGGTGCAGCTGCGCAGACAGTCCACGCTGCCCCCCCGTTCAAGCAGGTGAATAAAACTTTTTTAATTTATTATATATATAGAAAATCCTTTTGTTTATTTATATTTACTTTAATATAATTTAATTCGATTCAGAAGAGCTGCGTTTTGCTGCTGCAAGACAAC